ACTTGCGCCCAACACAGTTACATTTTGTTTTTTTTTTCTATATCTTCTACGGCGTATTTTAAAATTTTTTTTTGGTTAGGCAGTGAAAGCTTGGCAAGCACTAGCACTGTATTGCCACATTTTTGGTACTATATAACTTTGATTAAGATAAAAGATTTTCTTTTGCTCTTTATACATCTCAAGGGGGGTGGGTACATTTGGCATTACTTCGTCATAAAGGAATAATGATGGGCAATATAATAGGTATGATGGTAAGTACTCAAAAATGATAATAGGGTTTTTATGGCTATGCCTATGAGGGACACTGAAGTTTTATTGCTCCACACACATTAGTATATATATTATTGGTCCATAGTCTTGATTTCTGCTGGTGGCATTAAACACAAACATTTAATATGTTTATTTTTCAACACTTGTACAGTGTAGTGTAATTTTCTAAAAATACATTCTCTTTGTTTTCAAGTCACAACTTAAAAATACTGGGCTGCTTCTACTCATTTTACGTAGACGATACAGAAGCTGCATTTAATTTAACGCGAACCTTCCGACTCATAATTTTACATGTTTTGATTTTAATTGGTAGAATGCAAGAAGAAAAGCGCGAAGAGGAAGAAGAGAGGGCGAGGTTGGCCAGAGAAAAGCTGAAGGAAAGAAGAGTGGCGGAGGATTTACCGGAACCGGTGTATGGACCTATCCTAGATCCTGGGAAAAACGATCCCTACGGAAAGTGGCAAACAATCACGCAAAGGTATGCCATCTCAATGCCAAAAATGTCAGTCACACTTGTGTTTTGCTGTTTTTGATTTGATGTCTATGTTGCGGATGTCTGAAGTCCTGATTTGATGTGCCACATATACCGATTATGTCTTTTGACAGGGTCAATCATAATTCACTTGCGTAAATGTGAGAGTCTGAGCCTCGGTAGTAATCTTTTTAATCTGCCAAAATCATATTCGCTGGATCGTTGTTTCTATTCCCTACTAGCTAATTATTCTTGAATTTGACTTGGGCCCTTATTCTTGACTTCAATGGAATAGAAAACCCAAGAGAAAGTAAGCGTGTTTCTACTGGGAGGGAGGAATTCTTATTCTTGAATGTTATTGTATTGAAAACCAGTAGAATTTTATTCCCTGAAAGTTTTCCTACGTTATTTTCAAAGAAGGAACCAATGGACTCAGTCTTTGCTCGTAGAATGTGCATTTTAGAAAGGATAATTATAATTTCTTATTATGGGAGGAAGAATTATCAGCATAAATATATTGTGATATTAAATCTATAATTAAATTATCCATTATTTCCTATGCCGTGTCCCCTCTTGTGTTCTGGTAACTTGGTCTTCATATTAATTTTCAAATTCACCCATACTATTTACAAACCTTATGGATTCCTTCTGAGTCGATTCGTGTTAAATCAAACTTGGTGACGTTTCGCCGATCATCCTCTCCGCTTTTTCAGAGCTTAACTGAAACTGATTTACATTCTACTCTGTACCTTATATACTGATTGGGGATAACTCATTCCCACATTGGTGAAAACTAAAGACCAGAGCCGTGGTTAATAGTATATTATGCAACAACTGCGGTAAACGTCATTTGTATTATTGAGTTTATTTGACACGAGCGGAGCGAGTTTTTAATAAACGAGTGAGTTAAAAAGTTTACCGAACGTGTTGCATACTATACTTTTTCTACGACCGTTAGTTTTTGGTTACATTTTCGCAAAACAACACGAATACATTCACTGACATGACCGTCAGAATTGACAAACATCAAAATTCAAAGCTTGGGAAATATCACCGTAAACATCCGATTGCTCCCAAATCCGTGCGGTAAAGTTCCGAAAATGTCCGAAGTCTCTCGGATTCATGGGAAACGAAACTGGCGTGGTAAAGTGACGCTTCCCGCACGCTAGATCGGTGGGTAATTAGGTATTTTACAGGCGGGAGTAGAAAAAATTGTTTGCTTGTTTAGATATATCTAAAGATTCTCGAATTTTTCTTTGGTAGATATAAGAATTTTAATTTGATGAGTATATTTGTCGTAGTTTTACGGATTATTCATGTTCTTTTAGCCTAGTTGATATTTGTCGTCTTCTTTGTTTCAGTGAACCCGTAGATTTTCAGTTACCGCCCCCTCAAGAGTTCATCGAAATTCCGATAGTTACTGAACCTGAGCCGGTGATACACGAGTTCAAACAAAAGACGATCGAAAGGTTAACGCATGGTGAAACTGTTTTTAAGAAAAGGAAAGTACCGACAGGTGCCAAAAAGAACACGAGACAGAAATTGGACGATGACTAAATCCTTTAAAATATTAACGTAATTAATTTTAAAGAAAGCCAGCGGTGATATTAATTAAACGGTTTGGAGATTCAGAGATTCCATAGTTTTCAATTTAGACAAATATCGCCCTAAGCGTCAAAATAACCCAGGAATTAAGGGTGTTAACGTTTCTGGAATACTAGCATAAAGGAAAATCAACCGTCTGTAACGGGACTTGTAGGAAATCTATAACTCCAGTGTCGATGGAAATGTAAAGGGAGCAGTGAATTTCGCGCTCATCGCGATTCTGGAAAATAGAAAATATTTTATCCAAAACAGTGTTCCACTAAAACTTTTGGATAGGAAAAGGCTTGTTCTTAATTACATTGTCACGCCCCATACTCTGACTTTCTGATTCATTCTGAATATAGAGAAAAAGTTGTTACTTCATGTCCCAACACTTTTATTCAATGAATCCCCAAGAAAGGCTGACATATTAAAAAAAAATTGAGTTACTATAAATAAAATCCGCATCTCTTCGAGTGTTTTGTACTTATTTTTTTCCTTCTTTTTAACAATAATTAGAAAATAAAACCTCAGAAATTTCGAATAACAAAAAAAGCTTTTGAAAAATCAAAACGGAGTATAGTATAAGTTACTTGCCACTATTTTAAACAGTCTATTATTATTATTATTTCACTTTGTAGTAGTTGTGAAATATCATTTATTTAAATTGGTTAGGATATAAAATTAGGCTAGGAAAAAGTAGCGCAAAATAAAAAAAATTTGATTTTTTTTCAAAAGATTTGGGTTTGCTAGCTATGATTTTGTAATGCAAACCTTGGCAATATGGTCAGAATAACAGCTATTGTTCAAGACCTCCGAACAGTTTTCCCAACTATATTCACTGGTATCAAGCTGCTATAAAGTTTGTTTAGTTTGTTGATAATATGCCAACTTCTATTCACAAAATTTTTTTTTACAGCTCTGAATTTTTTTAATGGTAATTGAAAATTGCTGTTTCTATTATAGTTCGAAATGTTAAAAGGTTGGCTGAATTTTTGATAATATTCTTAAGAGAACGGGTTATGGTCATGTGGGGCTGGTGGGGGGAGCGAGGCGCCATGTCGTTAACGGTCAAATGTCAAAACCCGGAAAATAATTATTGCCAGCTGTAATACCAACCCAATTAAGTAAATTTGCCAAAAGTACCACTTCAATTAAAATTGGGAATTAAAAAAAGTCACTCTCACTGCTACTAGTATAAAAATAGGGATTTTAGTCTAGTGAGGATTAAGGAGGTAAAAATACTGCAAGAACCACCCACATCCTTTCTCGTATGGACACTCATCCCACATTAATCTAACGCATCTCTAAGAACTTTATCAGAAATAGCTGTTAGAAAACTCTAAATTCATAATGTTTCCAACTTCTTTTTTGTCTTTAGATTTAAATATGTACTTGTAATAACTTCTGAAAGCTAGGTTAATTAAAAAAATATTATTGGACGTTGACTAAGTAGATGCTATTTTTGTGTTCTTCACCTCGACAAACTAACAGGCTTCTTAAAATTACGCAATACATTTTTTCTTTTTTTTTTTAATTAATCTAGTTCATAGTAATTCACAATTAGTATTTGGCACATTCTAGGATCTTTTACTGGGTAAGTTTGTCACAATCAGAATTTTTAGTTCCATCTAGGTTATTAGATATTTCAATATCAATTTCACTTTTAGTATCACATTCGGAAGTTATATAGGAGTTTGAACTTTCACTTAAATAGATAGTTTATTAAACACTTGCTCCACTCGTACCAAATAAACTCGTGATTCAAATGCCATTTACCACAGTTGTTCTATAACATACTATTTTATTTATTTCTTGCATACTATTTTCTACTCCCTTTTGTAAAATATCTAATCATACACTGCTCTAGTTTGCGGGAAGCGTCACTTTATCTCGCGAGTTTTTTGTCCCACGGATCCGAGCCACTTCGGACATTTACGGGATATAACCGTACGGGTTTAATACAATCTCTTACTGAAGCTGCAGGATCCTCTGTTTTACCTGGTTGCCTGAATTATTAATTTAAGCCCGAATGTAATTACAGAGAAAAACATTAATGTTTTAAAATACGCATACACCACCTCTATTTATTTCTAGACCATGTTAACCTATTCTGCTGTATTTTCAACGTTAAAATAATATAAGTAAATTAAACCGTGTTATTTTATCCCCTTCACTTTATCCTATAAGGATTTTTAGTAACTATCATGGCCGCTTACAGTTCGTCAGTTCCACAGGTCCCAGTTTAGATGTTGGGCAGTATTTTTTCAATAATGCCGAAATTTAACTTTTTTAACACAATTACACTTACAATTAAAATTAAATTTTCCACTTTTACGAAACTAACTAGATTTATATTTTTGCACTGAAACATATACGAAATAATTCGGATTCTCTGAGAGTATAAAATATCAGTAGCAGCTTTGAATGCATATGAAACAAGACTGAAAATCCAACTAAATATACACTTCACGCCGTTTTTGTATCTAGGTAATTTCAATTCTGAGACTGATGCAATGGATCTTGGGAATTTCAGTTTTCCAAAAAACATGAATTAAAAATAACAAAACACAATTAATAGCTGCCAAGAGGTACATAAATATTTATACCTGCCTAGAGGTAGAAAAATATTTAAGATTGACCTGAAAAAAATTAAACACTTATACTTTGCAATTCATTTAATTTGCCTTTAATGGTATGAAAAATGACAACCAATTTACAAATATTATAAAAAGCGTTTTAAATGCTGAAAATGTAATATCGCAAATTAAATTTAAGACATTGTCTAGATATGAAAGATATTTAAACCTAGTGACCTGGACCATAAAACAATTTAAGTTACACATAAAAATATGTGCAATATGAGTCCTACACTATTGAGTATCAATTAATTTTAACTACCGCAGTAAAATAATAAATATAATGACATGTACAACATCAACAGGAATAAGAAATTTTTGAATTTGAACCCGTCTTATCTTTTGTATCTTTATGAGCTTCATAAAAAATTGTATGCAATGTTATGTGCAACCTTTCTTTCAATTTTCTTCCTATTTCAAGGACTGCGGTGCTATTAGCCGCATCGGCGGTCCAAATTCCTATTTTATCTGTTTTGTATCTAATATTCACAACTGCACCACAAATTTCATCGGAATTGTCAAATGCTTCACCAATCAAACAAAGTATGACATCCAACCAATATTTGTCCAGTTCATTGGCTCTCTGCCGTCGATCCAAGCTGATCAACCATCGGCCCCCTTTTTGATTAGCCTCATCTTCCCACATAGGGGTAATCCCTTTTTTAAAAAGTGAATAATCTGTGCCTTGTTTCAATTCGCTGGCTGGTTTTATATGATTGTATAAGCTCCAGAAATCTTCTACCGTTTGAAATGAAGCTATTTCACGTTGATTTAACTCCCACCTTATGGTTTTATCATTTTCAAAGTACCATAAAGTCCAACAGCTGTGCAACGGATGCTTAGGAAAATCCAGCGTTTCTACTTCACCCTCGTTTTTGTAATCAACTTTCTCGTTTTCGGAACTGATTGAATTCGTGGTCATTTTAAAAAAATGGTACAATATTGAACCGCCTTTCTTGTCTATTAATTGAGTGCCAGAATTTATGCCCAACAGCAATATATATAACTCAGTTTACTACACTTTAAATTATTTCTTTTCAATATTATCCAAATGTGATTGTTTAATATTTGTAATTTGTTTCCATATATCGCTTACAGATTGTCACATTTCAAACGGAAAAACCATTTGGCATTTGACAATTTTATCATCCGCATAGTAACGATAGCCGTTTCTTCTTCTTTACATTTTACACGGAAAGTGGGGCACATAGTCCAGATACACACGTCCATTGCAATTAGATTTTATTAGGTTAAGGACCAACTCCATACCCTATCACATTTTATACAACATAATGTTTATTCAAATGTTTAATTGTAATCAAAAAAATAAATACGACTTTCGCATTTTATGTAGCAATCATAGTAGCTTATTGTCTTTAACTAATGCCCATATTAATTTATGATCTGTAAACATAATATATAACCTGATGGTCCTCCTCATGTCGGTCGCCTCAATGACCATCGACCGACGTCACTTGGCGACCCAGTTTCCTAAGCGCCTTAATAGGGTCTTATTTCAACTGTTTGTTATACATAAGGCGTTATTATTGTCTGTTGTCTTGTTGAAATTCTGGTATATACAAGAGAAATATAACTAAATGGATATCTTATATAGAAGATTTAGTTGAAGTTCTTTAACTGTAGACAAAAAAAAGATAGTTAATACTTCAACAGAGAAGATAATAGAAGCCATCAAGAACACAAAAACAGGCAAGTCACCAGGGCGACACCAAATACCCTCAGAATTATTGCTAGATCTTTTTGTAATAACATATATAAAACCGTGCTTTCGCTGTTTGGGAACTTCGATCGAGTAACGCGTGGTGCCTTTAGATCGATGCAAGATATTTTATGCTCTAACCAACTACACATTAAAAATACAAAGCTACTCAGATACTATGTTTTCTTGGTATTGTTTTATGAGGCAGCGACGTGCACTCTGCTGAAGAAGCACTGAGAAGAGTGCATCAGAGGCATTCGAGATGTGGACGTACCCCCAAATGTGTCTCATCTGCTGAGTGGACACATTTAACAACATACAAGAAACTCTGAATTATGTAATTGTAAACTCTTCGGATAGGTTTTGAGGTCACAATTGCCGTCTGTGTTAAATGGGATAATGCCTAGTGTCGAACAAAATCATAACTCTTATTGCAAAACTGCCTAAGAGTTTTTACATATTGCTATACAATAACAATATTTATTAACTCCGGAAATTAGAAACACTTGATATTTAGAAGGTCATGTTTTTTATAACTGCTTGAGAGCCTTGCCTTTTTAGAATACAATTAAAATTACATTTTCCGTATTATTTATTTACGAAACTAACTAGATTTATATTTTTGTACCAAAACATAAACGAAATAATTACGGATTCTTTGAGAGTTTAAAATATCAGTGGTGATATTTTAATTCATATTAAATATGACTGAGAATCCAACTAAATATACACTTCGCGACTTTTTTTTTATCTAGGCAATTTAAATTCCGAGACTAATACAATGGATCTTGCGATGAATTTGCAATTGATTCTTTGATCAAGTTTCGGGTTTGTCATTTAGCCCAATAAAGGATCGAGTTGGGCCGCTGTCGTTTTTAGAGTTTCTCCTCATTTTAGATTTTTTTTTTTGCATTGACTTCTACTGCAAATAGTTTTTTTTTTTGTTGGCTTTCATAACTCATTAAGTTATGGAAGCATCCACAACATACTATATTGGTATTTTATCTGTATTGCGTCTCTATCTTTTATGGCCAGGGCGTTGCATTAAAACTTTTCGATCCATTATGCCCACGCGTCTTTACCAACTCCGAAAGAAGCGCACTGTACCTTTGAGGAGGAGTACAGTACCCATTTTATGAGAAGTTTAGATATTTCCTCTGGCTCAATGAATTGAGCTCCTAGTACTCTTAAATGGTTAAATTAATTACAGTTTCCTCCTCTTCTAAACATGGCCTGCATGTACTGTCATCGTCCATAGATAGAAAGCCTACTTTTGGTCCTGCGAGCTAGAGTCCCAGAATTAGAACCCAAACTAATTAAAACATACCCCGCCAATTAATCTTTAAATTATTAATTTAAATGCATTTTTTTGACTCCAACTGAAAGGACGCCTGATTGCGTTTCAAAAGATAGTTTAAATTGTATATACAAGGTGGCCCAAGGGAAACATGTATTCAAACTGAAACAATTTACTTTTCAAATGAAGTGGGTGCCAATATCAAAACGTAATCTTAATATGTCACACGTATTAACGTTCGCCAACGGCCATCTTCTCGTCTTCTGCTGCTGGCCCCCTCTTGTTACTTTTTGGTACCCTGTCGCTCACTCTAGCGGGACCGTACATATCTACTTCAATGAGGCGCTCTGGTCGACGACTAATACCGTGTGTGCCGCATCTATTGACGCTTGTACAATTTAATTAGTTAGAACTGGCTCGAACAAATTAGCCACGATTCAACGAAATATGGTGCCTTTGAAGGAGATCCGCTGTTTGCTTGTGTTTACTTTAACCAATTAGTTTCGTCGTTTAGAGAGAGAAATTAGTTACAACGTTTAGCAACAGATGGCAGTTGCTTAAACAAATTAGATGCGTGGTATATCAAGAGATGACGCTCCAGAGAAATCAACCAGGAGATTTAAAAGTTTTAATATAGTAAAGAATGCAATAATATATGTCTTGCTTGAGGTGCAAGTCGGCGACGGGACCAGTATTCCAGGCATAGTCCTAGACCTTCCATACAAGGCCCAACTGAACACAGCAATGAGTACAGTTCCAGCTAACGCCCAGGAGAAAAAAGTGAAACCACAACATCATCGTACAAAACACACAACTTACGGGCAGGTACGATAATAATCGGAGTCCTGCATACCACCCGCTGACATACTTATGGACTAGAATTAGAGTTTTTAATAAGATAATGGCATAAAAGCAATTGTTATTTTTGGTTTCTTATTTCTGAAAATTGCATTGGCAGTCGACGTGTAAAAAGCTCGTGGACAGACAGATTAGGTACGAACCGCGAGTGGATGTTTTTCCAGTGAATGTGATTCTTCTCTATTGTATTTTAACTAATACACCGGTGCAACAAAATCAACCTCGTATTTTACTACACCTCTGTTCAGCATTTTTTATCTCGACTATTTCAACTAATTTGAATATACAGATGACCATTCGGGGATGTTCTGTATTTTTTTTTCTTTTTTTAAAACTAATTTTTATCGTTCTTTTGGATCATGTAATTTTTGCTCTTGAAACTTATTGACGATCTGTCAGCGGCCTTGTTGGTTGTTGAATGTCGCAAGTGATTGGTTCAAAACGAGATTTTAAATCTCGCGCATACGCAATTTTTTTTTTTCATAATTGCTTTATATGTTAATGCATTATTGGTATAGGCAGGTCCTCTATGTCTCTAGCAGCTATATGGTTGAATTAAAAACTGCTGTATTATCGGCAGGCAGGGCCTCTCTATCTCTATTATACTTATTTAAAATTTTTCTGTTTTTCTTTAGATCTCCTTTTTTATTTGGATAATAGGGGGCCGTAAAATTAATATTTTCTTTAAATTTTAATTCATTTAATTTTTCATAGTTTCGTAGAGGCAATACCCAAGCTCCATTAGGTGCAGAATCTAACAACCTTAGCAGACGCTAACACCTATCTATCATCATTATCTACAATCGCCGGTCTGAGAGGAAGTCGTAAATTCATGTACGAGTAGCTATTGAAGATCATTTATCGATATCGCAAAATTTTGTATACTTAACATAAACCTCGCGTCTCAAATAAAACAAAAACAAAAAATCTGTGCCTTTAATTATTCTTGACGATGCATTACACACAATTGCTTCTTGATTATATTAAATAATTTCGTAGCATACAAGAGAAATTAAATTCGCCAAAAACTATGGATCCCAAAGTAAACCAAATCTTTCTTAAAGACAAAGACACCATAAGGTCTTGTTTGTCGATTTTTAGGAACATTTTTTATCGTCAATAACACTGCAATGAACAAAGGAATATGAGAGTCATAATACTGAGATACTGATATTTTAAAATTGAAATCACAAATACCCCAACAAACAACATACATTACAGGCTCGTTTGATTTTAATCTTTTTAATTTTAATTTTAAACCAAAACGTTCTAAAAAGGTCATGCTCGGATGTAATTCCGGTTGATCAAAAGTGCCGCCGTTATATTCTACAGGGTGTTCCAAATTTCGGGAAAAAAACTTAGTCTCATTGTTGCACCCCGAATATGCTCAAATTCAAATCTGAATAAAAATTTCCGATAGCATTGGTACTGCGGAATTAAAAAAAAAAAACATGAAAATCAAACTAGACGTCCACGACGAAGCCAACTTTGAAATTGAATTTAGTTTTTAGTTGCCGGTGATTGAATAAGTTATTAAGCATCTTGAAATGCAAATAGGTGAATGCAGGGCTGTCTTAACAATATTAATATTCACATATTGATCTAATTCTACTTTAAATGCTCTTTCTTCTATGTAATTATCACTGCTTTCGTTTAAAATGCTAGGGAGTAATAAAATGTAAACTTGCAAAGACAGGGATCATTAAATAGGGTGGGCAATTGGGTCACATTAAATTGCATACAGAGAGATGAGTTTTGTTAATGAAAGTAATGAGACAGCGGCGTTTAGCTTAATTTATTAGAATATTAAATGTAAAAGTAATTAAACATGATTATAATTATCGAGATAGGCAGATATATACAATATTATTTTTTCAAAGAAACTTCCACAGGTTACTGCAATACTTTTTGTAAAACTTCTGGATTCCTCCTGCGTCGGTTTTTGCTGAATCGAACTTGCTGATGTTTCGCCGATCATCCTGTTGGCATCTCCAAAGCTTGATTGAAAATTGCTCGCATTTTACTCTGTACCTGCTTATATATTATTTGAGGGTGGCGGAGCTAAATGAGGGGCATAAACACCGTCTCGAATGACAGATTCCCATATTGCTGACAGGTAGAGACCTGAGTCGCGGTTAAGATTGTTAGGTCGTTTATAGATTTCTATAGACTCTCAGATTTTTCGTTGGTAGAAGAATTGATTACATACAAGAAAAAATAAAATGTTATGTCCGGTTTGGTGATTGTGTTCGGCAACAGCGGATG